TATTTTTTAGTTATTGGCGGACACAACATCTTTGTTTGTATGTGGTGCTGAGGATCGAACCCGGGCCCCACGCATGCCAGGCGAGCGCACCACCGCTGAGCCACATCTCCAGCCCCTTAAAGGCTCTTTTTGCATCCCCCTTTTCTCAGGGGAAATGAAGAGGGCAGTTCATCTGAACGTCTCCTTGTGGAGTCGAGCCACTGGTTGCATTGTCACAGGATGCTGTTAGCCTCTTCCCTCAGTAGTTTAGGATCTGGTTAATGTCTGGACTGTTCCTTATTGCTAACCGAGATTTTCCACCAGTAACTAAGAAATCTTCTTAATTGAAACTTACTATATCTGTTCATCTTTTTTTATTAAACATTTCAGTCTATGCAGCAAAACCAGGAACCTGAACTGTTTGCCCAGCCTAAGGTGTTATCCAGTGCCATCCCGGTAAGGACTCCCTTTTTTGAGTATTTTTAAGTTTGCTGACTGAGCTGAAATATCACCTTATTGAAAAGTCTTAGCTTTCAAGCCCAGACCTCTCTTAGATGCCTCCTTCCAGGCTGGGCTGCTTGCCCTCCAGGCAGAGTTCATTACTGCAGCCTCTGTGCGCCTCACATCCTCTCATCATCATGCATGTCTCCCCTGACTGTCCAGGGGCAGGCTCAACCACAGTGTTTGTTGTTTGTGAGTGGGTGACTGATGAGAATTTGTCAGCCTGGCTTCTTTTTTTCTTTCTTTCTTTCTTTCTTTCTTTCTTTCTTTCTTTTTTGTTTGTTTGTTTGTTTGTTTGTTTGGACCAGGGATTGAACCCAGGAGCACTTAACCACATCCCTAGCCCCCATAAGTTGCTTAGGCTGGCCATGATTGCAGGCATGCACCACCATGCCCAGCTAACCTGGTTTCTAGAATTAGGGAATATTCATTGCCCAGGAAGAGCTATGATGTCCCAGCGGGTAGAGCCACTATCCTGCCACAATCTTCTCCTATCCCATTGCTCTGATGATGAAGCCTCCCAGACTTGCCTGGCCTTCTTTTTTTCATTTTCTTTCGTATCATGTTTTCATTTGCCTTTATGCTTGTTCACCTCTCCTTGAGTCTCAGAATGTAAAGCCAGCTTCTGTTTTACATTCTGGGTAACTTGTTGTATTCTGTGGTGATCAGCAGGAGCTGTCAGCTTGGTTTTATTACCAGAAAACAAGCTCAGTGGCTCAGATACCAGAAACTGCAGCCTGAAAACTCTAGCAGGCTCTTGGCTATTTGTAGATGAGGTGAATAAAAGAGTAAGAGAAGAACTATGAGTGTAGCTCATGGTGTAACATGTGCTCCCTGGGTCCAGTCCCTAGCATCCAGAAAGGGACATTGGGCAAAAAAAATGAAGATCTCGGGCTGAGGATGTGGCTCAAGCGGTAGCGCGCTCGCCTGGCGTGCGTGCGGCCCGGGTTCGATCCTCAGCACCACATACCAACAAAGATGTTGTGTCCGTCGAGAACTAAGAAAAAATAAATAAATGTAAAAATTCTCTCTCTCTCTGTCCCCCTCTCTCTCACTCTCTCTTTAAAAAAAAAAAAAAATGAAGATCTCTATTGATTGTATCAAATGTGAGAATTATTTAAAATAATCATCATTGGTTTGGTATATTCTGATGCCAGCTATAATTAGAAGCACATTTAAGCACATTTAAAAATGGAGGAAGAAGATAGAGATTAAGTTCATTTCTAGAAATTTTCATCTTTATATAATTAAGTTGGGGTTTTTGTGTTTTAGACTTCTTTTAAGTTTGTTTATTATAATTATCAAAATACATAATATTTTCTCACCCTAAAAAGTCCCTTGCCTTTGTCTAGTCATTTTTTCAATTCCACCCCCAAAGAAATTTTATTTAGAGTTTTATCATAGGATTGTTCGTACTCTGTATGACATATGTTTATTTCTAATAATCACCTTCTATAATGGTTGAACTTATCTTCCCTTCATGACTCCAGGGCACTCCTTTATATATGGGCTTTTCATACTTTAGCTAACAGAAATTACCTAAACAGGTACCAAATGTTCAAATTTCTCTAGTGAATGTTTACCTGAAACCAAAACAGTGTTAGAAGCCTAGAGATGAAATTCAGTGGTCAAGCGCTTGCATAACATGTGCAAGGCCCTTGAGTTCAATTTTTAGCACCACAAAAAAAAAAAAAAAAAACTGTTTGATTCTTCTTTGTGCTCCAGATCATTTTCATATTATACTAATGGCTGTTATCAGATGTCCTCTACTCTGAGCCTGGCTGCTGGCTTCTATACTTGGTGCAAAATGACCGTTGTTTCTCTTCAGGTTGCAGGCCCTCCACTGGTTACTGCAACAACCACAGCAGTATCTTCAGTCCTGTTGTCCCCAAGTGTTTTCCAGCAGACAGTTCCAAGGTCCACAGACCTAGAGAGGAAAGCAAGTTCCCCTTCACCCCTTACTGTTGGAACACCAGAAAATCAGAGAAAGCCTTCCATTATCCTCAGCAAGTCTCAGCTCCAGGATACATTGATACATCTCATAAAGGTATGTAGTAGGATATCAACGGAATCTTTGATTGTTTTTTTCTTTAATAGAAGAAAACAGATTTTGTATGTTCTCATAAGTACAAAAGACTAGGTTGGAGTAAGTTCGTCTTCCTAAGCATGTATTCCTGGCAGAATAGTAACTGTGTAAACTCTTAAGATATTAGTCATGATGATCTCTGGGAGAGATTATTTGGGTAATTAACAATTAGTTATAGGGCTGGGGATGTGGCTCAAGCGGTAGCGTGCTTGCCTGGCATGCGAGTGGCCCGGGTTCAATCCTCAGCACCACATACAAACAAAGATGTTGTGTCTGCCGAAAACTAAAAAATAAATATTAAAATTCTCTCTCTCTCTCTGTGTCTATCTCTCTCTATCTTTAAAAAAAATAATAATAATAATTAGTTATAGCATTCACTGCTACAGTTTTTTCCTAAGCTGTTTTCAGGGAAGTAAGCTTTATGATAAGGTAAATGTGACTTTCCATGTTCTTTCCTTTATCATCTCTTCCAGAATGATTCCAGCTTCCTCAGTACACTTCATGAAGTTTACTTGCAGGTTCTGACCAAAAACAAAGACAACCACAACCTATGACTGGAGTGGAATAAATCTGAAGTTGAGGGTCATCCTCAAAAACAATAGGCTTCATCATGGAAACTTCTTTCTGAACAGAACATTGAATTTTGAGAATCCTGAAAATGAGCCTATGAGAAAGAGACTCATTCCTTAAGAATGTTTTCCAAGTGACATTCTCAGTGATAATGGAGGTTTCACTGTGAAGCATCACCAGCAGACCTTTGACAAAAAAAAAAAAAACCAACAAAAAAAAAAGACCATTGTGTAAGTTATATGGTTGTTTTCATCAGCTGTAAGCAAGTATGTGAACAGAGGGGTCTGATATTCAGCTTGCTTTCTCTTTCAAGACTTAGGGAGGAGTAGCCACCAGCCTTGCCACAGAACTCAGCATAGCCCACACCTCCCCACACCCCTGCCCCTAAGAAACTTGGGCATTAAGCTGATAGTCGAGTTCTGAACAAAGTAGGTCAGCTCCACAAAGTAGCTTGAAGTTTTAAGAATCAGAGTTTAAGTTGATAAATTAGGAATTATTTGTTCAAGTGAAGTATATTTTATATGCGTGCCCCATTTGGGCCTTAAAAGTTCTGAAATTCCTTTGTGTTTTGTTTTAAGTGTCCCCAGTCCTGCCATGCAACAGGCTCCAGTGCAGCATTGCCTTTTTAATAGGGCCCTACTAGGCTCTGTGGTGATGTGGGAGGGAGCGTGTCACACCTTCAAAGCAGGGGCGAGAGCTGGGAATGCCCACATCCTACTAGAAATCTTCATTTTAAGTTAAATTCCGGTGGTTCTGAAAATGTTCAGTTCGTGTGTGAAACACAGCCTTATTCTCCTTTTCTGTCAAAACACAGAAGTCATTGTTGATTATTTTCTTTAACACTTTGATAAAAGGACCAGTGGACCAATCTGACAAAGCCATTCTGGTTCCATTCCTCAAGTGTACTGAAAACAGTTTTAAAGCTATGCAGAAAAGGGAGCTGTTATTCACACGGCCCTTACTTTATTGTAGACTATGGAGTTAAAAAGAAAGTGTGAAATTCAGAACTTTACCAATGTATTCCTTGGCTGTGAGAACTTTTCCAGCCCAAAGTGTGAAAATATGTAAAGATGCTTTGTTATGCTGCTATTGATCTGCCATGATTTATATTTATTCTTTTATGGCATGTAATGGTGTTTAGTAATATTTTAATGTAGATTTTGATTTATTTCAGCAATAGTAATTTTAAGATATTTTTTGAATGAAAGTGTCTTTGTTTCTATGATACAGGTCATTTTGTAGTATTTAACCAATTAAGATGCACTGCTTACTTTTCTGAGCACTATTTAATGATGGGGTAAAAACCCAAATGGCTCAACCAGCTAGCATAAGGATTAGCTGTCAATAATGCTGACAGATGTGATGGTTCCTCGGGAACAATCATTTAAGCTTTAATGATAACTCAATCATAAGTCCATAGATTTTTTTTTTTTCCTAGCAGAAATTTTAGGAAATTACTTGTGAATTACATTCTTGTTTTAGTTTGGTCGTAGTTTTTTTAGCAAAAAAGAATACTTTGTTTGATTGGCTTATGTTAATCTGAACATGCTTCCTGGAAAGTGTTTCTGCTTCTCGATTTAGTGTCTTATGTTGCTATCTACCTAGTTTTGTGTGTGAATTGTGCAGAATTCAGGAAAGCTTATAAGTTTTCTTACTCAATTAGGAAGAGTTTGTTTTCAAAGATAGTGTGTAAATTCAGCAACCAAAAATAAATTGCTCAAGCTGTCATCTAGGAAAGAGAAAAGTTCTAGTAAGATCCAAATTATAGCAAGATAAGGAATGTTGCTGACATCCGAGATGATGTCCAAGGAACCACATGATTGTTCTTATAAAATGAATGCACCAGGAGATTTGATCACACCCCACATGTAGTCTCAGTGGGCTTTAGTAAACAGATGAATCAAGGGATTTTCATTGTAGTAGACATTTGAATCTAAATGATGCTTTCGAGTTTGTATAATATTATGAGAGAGGGTAAAGAGAGAATATCCTAAAGAGGATCTATAATCAAATCTGTTAATTTTCATCCTTTAATCATAGGAGTGAATATGATCAACAGTGAAAGAGAATCTATGATAAGGCTTCCTTAGTGTGAAAGTAAACTTTTTTAAGTGCCCAAGTCATGGAGACTTGAAAAGGGTAATCCTATTTTAACTCCCAAATTTATATCTTCAAAGCATTAACTTAAAATTCAGAAGCCAGAAAATCGTGGTCATGATTACCAGGAGATTCAGGCCAGAATGAGTCCCCTGAGAGCTAGGCCAAGCCTGGATAGTTGCAGTTGGATTACCCTGGCCTGAATATCATAGTTCAGTTGCCTTATTCCTTGTTCAGGCTTACTGTCCAAAACCTCATGCTTAGGTTGCATGTTTACATTGCTGCCATGTCTTAACTGGAACCTTAGTTGAATAGAAATGGACAGCAAGAATAGAGATCCTTCTAACTGGATTTTGCAAAACCCAGGAGACCTGCACTTAGACCACTCTGTCCATTGTTACCCATCCTGCTCCCCACTTGCAGTCCAAGTGTAGGCCCTGGGAGGAGCAACCCAGACCTTTAAGTATGGTGTGTCTAGGATACCACCAGTGGGTAGCACTACTCACGTGTTTGCTGTAGATAAGGTGATGTCTTTGAATGGACACACCATACCTCCCAGATCACCTTATTCCTCTTTGTTGAGCATCTCTCCCAGGATTTGTGAGTTGTGAAAGTTGTCCTACTTGCTGGGCATGCACACGTGTAATCCCACCTTACTCAGAAGGCTGAGTCAGGAAGATTGAAAATTCGAGGCTATCCTGGGCAATTTAGCAAGACTATGACTATAAATTAATTAATTAACTAGTTAATTAATTTTTTAAAAAGAGCTGGGGATGTAGCTCAGTTGTAGAGCACCTTGGGTTCAATCCCCAGTACCCAGGGCAGGGTGGGGTGGAGGGATAGCTTGTTGCTTATTTTTTTTTTTCCAATCAAGTGACAGTGTCAAGAGAAGCATTTCCTGCAGTCTCCTATGGAATGTTTATAGCTTACCTTGAACAGTAGTGTTTTGTTCAGAACCTGAGTTAACCTGGGCACTTCTCTACAGGAGGATGCACAGACTTAGTTTAGAATATGTCTGACCAGATTTTGCATGTTCAAGCATTTATTCTATTTCTGGCTTATATTTTCTTGTTGAAATTATAGACTCCATCAAATCCACTACTAGGTAAATATTTTTAAACCATGCAGCTTTATTACTCTCCTCCCCCAAAGAATGTAGTTGGAAATTTTCTTGTTTTGGTAGTAGAGGCCATGACTGCCATTGTATTACTAATAATGCAACATGAAATTGAAGGTGCCTAACTGCTTAAAAAACAGAATCAGCCATCATACTGTAACTTGGAGAGGAATGAGAGGTGACAGAGGCACAAGTAACCTCAGCCTGAGTAGTGAAGACTGAGAATCATGGGCCCATGTCCTGTATCCTTGCTGCACATTTGCTGTGGAATCTGTGTTTTTTGTTGTTGTTGTTGTTTCTTACGTACCTTTGGTTTTCTTCAGTTGTGTTCAGAGTACCTTCAGGAATCAACAGTGCTCTGTGTTTTCAAGTGTCTAAAATGTTGATATCTGAACAGAGCAAAGCAACTTATACTGAGCTTTTTAAAAGCTATGCTTGAGAATATTTCTTTGAGCAGGACAGGGCCCCAAGGAGCCTGTTTTTCAGCAAATTTCAGCAGGAGAGATGTGTGCAATCTTTCACTCAGATTTGTATTTGACATCTTTCTTTAAAATGCTAAGATGCAATATTGATCACTTTGAAGTGGCAAAAAATGCAAGATTGCATTTCCCTTTTATCCATGTTGTGAATTCTTAGGAAACATGTTTTTAAAATAGGTGTTCTCAATGGTCTTTTATTCTGTATTACTGCTTTGGCCGTTTGGCTCTCACAACTTTCATTGTATCAGATTCTTAGCTCCCTGAAATGTGGGGACAAGAAGCTCTGGAGTGACAGCAAAGTTTTTGTTCCATGAGCGCAATACAGCATCATTGACATTTTTAATGGTATGGATTTTATACCATCTGTGTATGTTTGCAAATATTAAGTTATTACATGTTTTAAAATGAGCGTTTTTCATCCTAAATTTTATATGTTTGCAAATATATTTTTTTAATAAAATTTCAAAACCAAGTTTTAGCACCTACTAAGTTTTACCTGTGTTTTTATTTAATTTGTAGAAATAGGAACTTTTGAATGAGTTGCCCTGTACTGGTGAGAAGGGGAGGGAGAGGGAACAAAAGCAACAAAGAAAACCTCATCCTCCTGTCTCCACCCCATAGAGTCAGGGTTCTAAAGAAACAGGACCATTTAAACTCAGTTTAAGGTTCTTAATTAGCTTTATTTCAAGTCCAAAATCCAGCAATATCACATTCAGTATAATTTGTGTGCACCCCGGGGATTGAACCCAGTGCTTCTCACTTGCTAAGCACTTGCTCTAGCACTGAGCCAAACCCTTATTTCCCTAAAGATTTATAACAGAAAACAGGCTGCAGAAGCAGAAAACAAAAAGTGAATTAGTCATTTCCCAGTTACTTTTGTTTTAAGGTTAAAATATGATGGTAAGGTTTAGCCTTATCCTGCTGGCTAAAACTGGCCTGTTGAGGGATTTGACTGTTCTCTCTCCTAATTTCTCAAAACATCAGATAACCCACTGAGTTTTGGCTTTCTGATATGAAACTTCAGCATGAGTGAGTACATTTTGGTTTGGCCTGATGGACCTACTATGGGAGCTTACTCCAAACCAATGGCTTCCTGTAACTTTTCTTTAATAATTATCAGATATTGGCCCACATGATTATGGAGGCTGAGAAGTCCCATGATCTGCCATCTGCAAGCTACAGGCCCAAGAAATCCAATTTTATGGACTCCAAACCGGTCCAAATGGCTAAGAACAGACAGCTTTGAAGTCAAGAGAACGATGTACCAGGTCAGATAGAGTTAATTCAACTTCCTCCTCTTTGTCCCATTGAAGCCATCAGGGTATTGGAAATGCCCACTCACATTGGTGAGGGCAGATCTGCTTTACTCAAGTCTACCAATGCTTATGCTAATCTCTCCCCAAAACCCTTATAAACCCACCCAGAAACAATGCCTGACCAGCTATCTATGTAGCCC